TATAAATATATATCGGAAGTAATAAATTATATAACTTAAAATACACACTTTCAATTCCTCCTCCAATTGAGGTATGACATTTAACAATAATCCAGGCGCAGCTCTATTCAGCTCTTTGATAAGATCATGAGCTGTTTTGAAGTCATTCAGCTCTTCTGTAGATGTCCCATTTCTATCAGCTTCAACGATAACATCTGTAAAATACTGAGTACGCCGATTTGTTGATACTTGAAAGCTGGATGAACTTCTTATGGAAAATTTTATAAAGATTAACTCACCTGACAAACGTATCGCTGTAACTTATCCGTTGCGCGATTGCAAACTTCGCTGGCTAATTGATAAGCCGTCGGATTTTCATCCTAGATAAACCCACACAAAAAAATAAAATAAAATAAAAGATTCAGACAATTAGGAATTGGTAAGTAAATAAGCTATCTAGAAATATAATAAAAATACTTTTCGCTGCTTTAAAAATTGTGCAAGTATAACATCGATCATATCTTGAGGTAACCCGTCACTTTCATTAATTAGTTGTTCAAGAATGTCCACCATATGTGAATGAACAATATTTGACATGTCTGACCTGCATTAAATACGAATTAATAGATTAGTTACACAAACGTGTACAAAAAACGTGGAAATATCAAACTGACCTAATTATATCAAAGAAATCTCTGAATAGTTCAATCAAGAGTTCTTCACAATTTGGAAGATCCAATATCAACAATACTATTTTAACTCTTGCTAAATTTTCAAGCAGATGGAAATATAGATCAAAATAAGGACCATCTTTATCACCAATATTCTGTAATTGATGAACAAAAAAAACAAAAATGTCCTAATAAAAAGTAAAAAAAAAAAAAAGTTGATTGATATGTATAATATAACAAGGTCCAGATAACTCTCAAGGTTTCATACTACTTTTTTCTTACTTTGAGTTCACGGGCATTATATGGTGCATCTGGTGCATATAGTCTCAGCAAATCCGATATACAACAAGCCACATAAGCCTTTACTCCCTGATCTTTGTGACTTATTAAATTTGCGTTAATCAAGTCACGAGTTACGCCTTTTAAAGAATCAAGGTCAACTTGTTCTTGATCCATTACGGAAACTTCTCCAAATAAGTTCTATATATTAAAAATTTATTGTAAAAGGATTTCTCGGATAAAAACATACTTTTTAAAAATCACTCTATACCTTTAGCCTTTTTATTAGCTCTGGTGTGGAAATTATTTTTTGTGACGCTGCTGAAACAAAGTTTAGTTTAAACTGAAGTCGTGATGGGCGCGTTGAACTTCTTCCTGTAGACATTTTCTCAATTTTAATAGCTTTAGCTGCTTTTATAAAACTTTAAGATTTAATTTATTGTTTCAAATATAAAACTGTTGGATAAAGACGCGTATTGCTTAACTTTTGATATGAAGAGTTCGCTTTTGGTCTCTAGTAATGAAGCTTGTACCAAATAAAGTTTCATAATTAGAATTCTTGAAGTTGATTGGCTTAAGGTTAAAAGACGCAAAAAACGTGACTTTAATGATGTAGAAGATCGACAAACCTGTTATTCTAAGATCTATTAAAAAAAATTTCATATTTCGAGAAGAGCTGGGAAAAAAATTTACTTTAATACAACCCTCATAAAAATCCTTAATAATCCTTTTGCGACAGAATATTTGGTTGATGCCTCCAGTTCACGATATTTGCGCACGCGTCCAAAATGGTTTCAGAGCTCGTTTACAAAGTATTGCTATTCCAGATACGAAAATGAACCTTGCGATTTCCATGATCCTTTATCGACAAGGGTTTATTTCTTCTGTACAACGCGGTAACCACCTTGAGCCAGATAAGGAATTTGTGCAAACTCTACCACATAATATCGCAAGTCGAAGATTATGGCTTGACCTTAAATATCGAAATAATGAACCAGTTTTAAAAGCGATGTCATGTGTAAGCAAAGGTTCAAGGAGAGTATATATGAATGTTGAAGAACTTAAGAATTTGATAGCTGGAAGAAGGGCTAAATTAATCACACCATTAAAACTTGGTGAAATTGCTATCATTAATACATCTTGCGGTGTCTTGGAAATTAATGAAGCTATTGAGCAAAATCATGGAGGAGAAATTCTTTGTAGGGCTATCTAATCTAATTCATGAAGAAATCGGATGATGAAGTCAGTTTCTAAGGTTAATGATTATGATAATTTAATGGAAGTATTTAAATCTAAAAGTACTTAATAAAAAAAAAAAACAAAAAAAAGTTATCAATTTAATACCAAAGTTTGGTTGGCTGAAATGTCACGTCATTGAAGTTGACTACCCAGATTTTCCAGAGTAGAAGAATGATTGATTTCTTGTTTTACTTTATTTAACAGTAAGTTGCTTGGATCAATTTACCAAGAATAATTTGCGTTGCCAGAATCGAGCACGTGACACACCCACATACAAATACCAAGTAGGATTCAAATTCGTTGTCTGGAGTCCTTGACTTTAAAATCATATTCTTGGTGGAGGAATGGTATTATGAATTATTAATAAAGGGATCAAACAAAATACAGATATGATCAATTACTATTACTTTTAAAATATTTTAGTATTAGGAATTCTTCATATTGCAAAACTTTTATAATGGGATTGCTAACAGTAGTGCTGATGATGACCGAATAAGTTGTTTAAAGGATATTTAAAAAAATCCATCCTTGTTTTAAGCATCGAAACAAATCGAAAAAAAATTTCGTACACTTTTGATTTTTATTAATTAATGTAAAATAGATTAAGTAATAATTTATATTATAAATGAATAAGCAATATTATTCATTTTATCACCTTTAACATTCATTTAGATAATTATAAGTTCTATAAACTTTTTATTAAAAATTTCTTAGAATTTTTTATTTTCTTATATAATACATTCTTAATCAACTAATAAAATTGAATGTATACATAAAAAAAAATATATATAAGAATTTAAATTAAACTTATTAAAGAATATTACCAATAAAAAAATAAAATTAGTTTTTATTACCTTTAGTTATTTTATTAAGAAATATATTCTTTAAAATAAATAATAAAGTTATTAGATAAAATAAAAATAAAATATTTTTAATTTAAAATAAATAATATTCAAATATTTCATAAAATATAAAATATGATTTAAATTGATTCAATATATTAACCTCACTTATAAAACAAGTAAATTAAAGTAATTTGAACTAATCTAAAGGTATATTTATAATTAAAATTAAAGATCAACTCTATTTTTTTAAGTAAATTGAATCAAGTTTATTTTATTAAAATCTTTTGATTTTGAGTTATATAAATTTTAAACTTGACTTAATTCAACTTGATTTAATTTTAATTTAACTCAATTTTGACTTAAATTTATTTAAGTTAAATTAAATTTAAATCAAATTTTAGTCAAATTTAAATTAACTTATAAATATTTAAATATAAAAAATTTATTTTAAATTAAATTATATTATAAGTTTATATTTATTTTATTTAAATCAAAAT